AATGGCAGCATTAAGCCCTCATATATCACTAATCACTCTAAATGTAAATGGATTGAATTCTCCAATCAAAAGACACAGAGTGGTGGGATGGATTAAAAACAAGACCTAACAATATGCCGCCTCCAGGAAATACATCTCAGCTCTAAAGACAAACACAGACTCAGAGTGAAGACATGGAAGACGATACTCCAAGCAAATGGCAAACAAAAGAAAGCAGGTATTGCCATACTTATATCAAAGTAGACTTCAAGATAAAACAGGCAATGAGAGACAAAGAGGAGCAGTATATAATGATAAAAGGGACACTCCACCAAGAGGACATATCACTTATAAATATATATGCACCCAACACTGGAGCACCAAAGTACATAAAGCAACTTTTAACAAACCTAAAAGGAGATATTAACAACAACACAATAATAGTAGGGGACCTTAACACCCCACTTACATCAATAGATAGATCATCCAGATAGAAAGCTAACAAGGTAATAGTAGAATTAAATGAAAAACTAGACCAGATGGACTTAATAGATACATATATAGAACACTCTATCCAAAAATAGCAGAATATACATTCTTCTCAGGTGAAACATGGAACATTCTCAAGGACAGACCATATGTTGGGAAACAAGGCAAGCCTCCATAAATTTAAGAAGATTGAAATCATATCAAGTATCTTTTCCAACCACAATGCTGTGAAACTAGAAATAAACTGCAAGAAAAAAGCTAGGAAAGTGACAAATATGTGGAGACTAAACAACATGCTACTGAACAACCACTGGATCACTGAAGAAATTAAAGGAGAAATCAAAATATATCTGGAGACAACTGAAAATGAAAATACACCATACCAACTCATACGGGATGCAGCAAAAGTGGTCCTACGAGAGAAATTCATAGCAATACAGGCCCACCTTAACAAACAAGAAAAATCCCAAATAAGCAATCTTAAACTACACCTAACAGAATTAGAAAAAGAAGAAGAAAGAAAGCCCAAAGTCAGGAGAATGTATTACTTATTTTTCTAAAAGAGGAGGAAATGATTCATATAATGGAAAAATCTGGTTAAGAAATTAGCCTCATTGGTAACTTAGCAATGAGAATATAATTTTTTTTTCAATGGCATGTGTCAGCATCTGGAACATTTTTCACCTGAGCACATGTGTCATTCTGAGAAGTTTGTAAACTTTGTATCAATTCAGAAGAGAACCTGTACTTATATAGCCTAATAATGAGAATGGTGAAAGTCTTCTGAGTGTGAGCTTTGACCCAGATTTGGATTTTTAAGGAAAACTAGGCATTAAATGGATTTATAATGAGATGTAAGGGAAAGAGCCCAAGGTTTAAAAAGGAAAGCCCTGGTCTGAATAGAACCAGGTTTGATGTAGGTTTAGCAGAAGCCTTAAAAAAATGTTCATTTCCTTTGATCCAGTAATTCCTGTTAAAGGAGTTCAGGCTAGCATTAAAAAAAAAACAGAAATGAGGAAGAACAATGCAAAGATGTTCATCACAGCTTGAGTTCTAATAACAACAACAATAAAAAATTGAAACACTTAAAAATATCTAAAATTAGGAGACTGATTAAGTAAATTATAGTATAATTGTATGATGCAATATAATCAATCATTCAAACTTATGTTTATAAAAAGCTTTTGTGACGTGGTATGTTATGAGAGGATGCAGGATAAAAAAATGTATATTTACCGTGATTTTAACTATATTTTCTTAAACGTCAGGATTGTTAGAAAATATACCTAAAAGTTACTAGTGGTGCCTCTGAGTATTGGCATTATGTGGATTTTTTTTCCTACTTCAATATACTTTATAAATGTTCTAGAATGAGCATGTATTATGTTTGCAATCAGGAAAAAATTTCAACTGAAAAAGAAATGTGTCACCAAAGCCGTCTAATGTGACTACTTACGTTTATATAAAAGATACTGCAACCTTCTGGAGGAGAACTGCCTGGCTTAAAACACCTCTCACTCTGGGGTCAAATAACAGAGACACACTAATTACCAGCTTCCAAAGGTTGTCAACAAAAAGCTGGAATAATGCTTGGCCATGTCCCTCTGCATTTCCCATCCTCACCCAATTCCCAAAGAGAAACTGGACTGACCAAAACTACTTTCCATTTGGTCTGTTGAAATTATGGATTAGGTAAATGTCACATACCTTTCATTTCAACCAAGACCTCAAAAAGCAATATTCCTCCCCCTCTCACCACTCCTTTCCAACATCATACTGGAAGTCCTAGCTAATGCACCAAGACAACAAAAGGAAATAAAAGGTATACAGATTAGGAAAGAAGAGATAAAACTGTCTTTGTTCACAGATGACATGATTGTCAACGTAGAAAATCTGAAAGAATCAACAGAAAAACTCCTGGAATTAATATATACCAGCAATGAACAAGTGGAATTTAAAATGAAAAACACAATATCATTTACATTAGCACCCCCAAAAAAGAAATACTTACATATAAATCTAACAAAATATGTACAAGATCTATATGACAAAAACTACAAAAATCTGACGAACAAAATCAGAGAACAACTAAATAAATGGAAAGATATTCCATGTTCATGGATAGGAAGACTTGACATCATCAAGATGTCAGTTCCTTCCAACTTGATCTATAGATTCAAGCAATCCCAATCAAAACTCCACCAAGTTATTTTGTGGATATCAACAAACGGATTCTAAAGTTTATATGGAGGGCAAAAAAAAACCAGAATAGCCAACACAGTATTGAAGGAGAAGAACAAAGTGATGACACTACCCACGACTAAGTTTGTGATGTAAAACACAAAACAATAAAACTCCTAGAAGATAATATAGGAGAAAACCTAGATGACTTTGGGTATGGTGAGGACTTTTTAGATACAACACCAAATCCATGAAAGAAATAATGCATAAGCTGGATTTCATTAAAATGAAAAACTTTTGCTCTGCAAAAGATGATGTCAAGAGAATGAGAAGACAAGCCATAGACTGGGAGAAAATACTTGCAAAAGACATGTCTGACAAAGGACTGTTATCCAAAATACACAAAGAACTCTTCAAACTCAACAATTAGAAAACAAACAACCTGATTAAAAAATGGGCCAAACACCTTAACAGACACCTAGCCAAAGAAGATATATAGATATCAAATAAGCATATGAAAAGATGTCCCACATCATATGTTATTAGGAAAATGCAAATTAAAACAACCAAGAGATACCACTACACACTTACTGGAATGGCCAAAATCTGGAACACTAACAATGCCAAATGCTGACGAGGATGTGGAGCAACAGGAACTCGCATTCATTGCTGGTAGGAATGCAAAATGGTCTAGCCACTTTGGAAGACAGTTTGGCAGTTTCTTGCAAAACTAAACATACTCTTAACATATGATCCAGCAATCCCACTCCTTGGTATTTACCCTAAGGAGCTGAAAACTTATTGTCCATAAAAAAACACGCATGTGGATGTTTATAGCAATTTTACTCATAATTGTCAGAACTTGGAAGCAAGTGTCAACCTACAAAAACAGAAACCAGTTTAAGAGGCAAAGTGTTTATCTGGGATCAAAGAATTGCAATTCAGGGAGCAGCGATTCAGGTAGAAACCCAAAGAGTGTCCTGATTACAGGAGAGGGACTTAGGGGTTTTACCAGAAAAAGGGAGGATAAGGTGAGTTGTATTAAGGAAGAGTTCATTGGTGCTAGATGATGTAAGGCTACGTTTGTCCTTCATTGATTGGTTAGCCATTCGGTCATCAGCAAAGTGCCCTTTCATCATTCCTTACAGATAGGATATTCTTGTCCTTACTGACTTGGAATGTTGGCAGTTTGGTCCAGTTTGGAAGATAAAGAAAACAAGATGTGCAAGAGAACACCTCTGAAATGGCTGCTCTGGCTTTATTTTATTTTATTTTATTTTTTGGTGAGGGAGATTGGCCCTGAGCTAACATCTGTGCGAATCTGTCCTCTATTTTTGTATGCGGGTCACCACGACAGCATGGTTTGATGAGTGGTGTAGGTCGGTGCCCAGGATCTGAACCTGCCAACCCGGGGCCCCTGAAAGCAGGGCACACAGAACTTAACTACAGAATTTAACTACTATGCCACCTTGGGGGGCCCCTGCTCTGGCTTTACGTAATATGGCTCCATTCATGTCATCTTTCACACAACAAAGATGTCCTTCAGTGGGTCAATGGATAAATAAACTGTGGTACATCCAAACAACGGAATATTATTCAATGCTAAAAAAGAAATGAGCTATCAAGCCATGAAAAGACATTAGGAATCTTAAATGCCTATTACTAAGTGCAAGAAGCCAATCTGAAAAGGCTACACATTATATGAACCCAACTACATGACATTCTGGAAAAGGCACAACTACAGAGACAGTAAAAATATCAGTGGTTGTCAGGTGTTGATCGGGGCAGGGAGAGGGATGAAGAGGTGGACCACAGAGGATTTTTAGGGCAGTGAGACTACATTGTAGGATATCCTAATGATGGACACATGTCATACATTTGTCCAAACCTACTGAAGGTACATCACCAAGAGTGAACCCTCTAGTAAACTATGGACTTTGGAAGATAAGGATGTGTCAATGTAGGTTCACAATTGTAACAAATGTACCACCCCGGTGGGGGACGTCGATAGTGGGGAGGCTACCGCGTGTGGGGGTAGGGGGTATACGGAAATCAGTCTTCCACTCAACTCTCCCAAGAACGTAAAACTGTTCTAAAAAAATAATTCCTTTTTAAAAAGGGCGCATATTCTCGCCATTCCTGACCGCCCCAAACGCTTTTCTCTTAACGCCCACGCGGGAACCAGGGTTCCAGGCCAATGGATGCGGGCGCGCTGAGAATGCGGACCGCGAGGGTCCGAAAAGGGCGGGGTGCCGCCAGGGGAGGCTCTCAGAGCGCCCCCAGCTACGGGCACGAGGCCGGAGAACGTGCCCACTGCCAGCCAGCTGGGGCAGCCGCGGGACGGCGCTTACCCGGGCCGCCCGCGGTCGCTGTCATGGTGACGGACGCCCGCAGTCCGCGCAGGCGCTGAGCGGGGGGCGCCGCCTGACCCGTCGCAGGTGGCGTGGAAACCGGACGCCACCACCACAGAAGGTGGACAGAGCAGCCGCTCCCCACCGGGCCTGGCCTGCAGCTTGGCAGCGGAGGCGGAAGGGGGGGGCAGCGGTGCGCACGCGCAGAGACTGCGGCTCGAGGTTCGCTTCCGCGCAGTCTTCGCGGCCGGCCAAGTGTCGCGCGAATTGCTCTTTTGAAAGGTAGTCAGAAGACAGGTTAGTCCTTCTGAAGGACGCCGCGGCCGGGGTGACCGAGGCGGAGGATGAGACCCGAGATTGAGAGCAGTTGCTGGTGTGGGGTACGAATTTCCAAAGCTGGGTATATTTTCTTTTAATTTTGGTAACGTCCTGAAATGACATGGAGTCATTTCTCCGTAAGAATCAGTGTTTCTGCACAAGGATGCTGAAGTGATGACTTGAACGTGTCCTGTCCCCTCTTCCTCTCTCTCCCACTGTTCACTCGGAAAACCCTCCTAGCAGCTGGACTCGCCTACCTGCTGCCTTCTTTGCCCTCCTGACTCCCTACTCTCCGCGGCCGAGCTGAGGCTGGAAAAAGCGCCGGTGGAGTCAGACTGATGTGAATTGACAACATAGCGCTTCCATTTTCTGGTCCTGTGACTCTAATGCAACTCGGTCAGTTGTAAAATTAGGATAACAATACACCACCTGACGCAACACAAATGGCAGCTCTTCTCGCCCAGCCCTTGAGATTTTAATATAGTCTTTCCAGACTTGAGTTGTAATTATGTCAATTTATCTTTGATCAGACATTTGTATTCTCTGATGTTCTCTAGTTCAATCAAAAAGATTTCTTGAGTTTCAGAAAACACTAAGTTTTAATGACTTCAGTGGCCTTTAAAAACAAAAGCTTTATTGATATACAATTGATTGTATTTGATTTGCATTTCCCTAATGATTAAAAGTGTTATACATTTAAAGTGTACAATTCAATGTATTTGTAGTGTACTCTGAGTTGTGCAACCAACACCACAACCAACTTTAGAACATTTTCATCACGCTAAAGCAGTCACTCCCCGTTTCCTCCCCAACCCTACACAACCACTTTATGGATTTGCCTATTCTGGACATTTCATATAAATGGAATCATACAATATATAGTCTTTTGTGACTGGCTTCTTTCACTTAGCATAATGTTTTTAAGGTTCATCCATGTTGGAGCATGTTTCAGTACCTTATTCTTTTTTATGGCAAAATAAAATTCCATTGTTTGCATATACCACATTTTATTTGTCTGTTCATCAATTGATGGACATTTGCATTGTTTCCACTTTTTGGCTGCTAATGAATAATACTGCTGTGAACGTTTATGTACAAGTTCTGTGTGAAAGTATGTGGACATATTTCTCTTCGGTGTATCCATAGGAGTGGAATTGCTGGTTCATATGGTAACTCTGTGATGAACTTTTTGAGGAAGTGCCAAACAGTTTTGCAAAGCAGCTATACCATTTTACATTGCCACCAGCAATGTACGAGGTTTCCAATTTCTCCACATCCTCACCAACACTTGTTATTATCTCTTTATTTTAAATTTTTTTTTATTTTAGCCATCCAAGTGGAAATGAAGTACTATCTCATTGTGGTCTTCAATTGCAGTTCCCTAGTGACTGATGATATTGAGCATATTGTCAAGTGCTTATTGGCTATTTGTATATTTTCTTTAGAGAAATGTCTATTTCCTAAATAACTAGATTCCTTAGTGTTTTGCAGGTTGAATAATTTGGGATTATTTCCTGGATATTTTGAATATTAGGAAACTCTCAGTCCTGTATAAATCTTCAGAAGAATGTTTTTGTTGTGTTTTGTCTTGTGTTAGCTGGCAGTCAATCCAGTTAGTTCAGACCACACAACCTGGCTAGCTTTCTGTGGGCTGTGGTTCCAATGGTAATTTAGTTTTCAACACCTTTTTAGTGCCGTTCTAGTCAGCCCCAACTGTGCACCACCCAGTGGCTAGTGTAAACCTGGATAGTGATCTACACTGTGGTTCGGTGTTCAAAACTTTTGCCCTGGGGCCGGCCCTGTGGCTTAGCGGTTAAGTGCGCGCACTCCGCTACTGGTGGCCCTGGGTTCGGATCCGGACGCGCACCGACGCACCGCTTGTCTGGCCATGCTGAGGCGGCATCCCACATACAGCAACTAGAAGGATGTGCAACTATTACATACAACTATCTACTGGGGCTTTGGGGAGGAAAAAAAAAAGGAGGATTGGCAATAGATGTTAGCTCAGGGCCAGTCTTCCTCAGCAAAAAGAGGAGGATTGGCATGGATGTTAGCTCAGGGCTGATCTTCCTCACAAAAAAAAAAAAAAAAAAAAAAAAAACTTTTGCCTGGCTGCTTCTGGTCAGTTTCACACATGCACAGCTTGAGGGTGATCCCAGGATTTTATACACAAATTTAAAGGTTCCCTTTCTTCAGTTTCCTCCTGTCTATTATCTTCTCCACACTCACTGGTTCCAAGATCCCCTTTCTTGGTGTTTTGGCTAGAAAGTCAGGCCTTTAGCCTCCCCACAGCATTGTTAGTGTCCTGCCCTGCAGTCTGCCACCAGTGTACCAGTGGTTAGAGGGGTGCTACCTTTTTGCTGTCTCCAGCTTGGTGTAGGGCAGGGAAAGTTCACAAGGCTCCACCTCACAGGATTTACACATAGTGGAGAGGAAGGGGTGCTGCTGCTTTTCTGCAGCTCTCCTAGAATAAGGCAAGTAAATTCAAAAGGGTTCTGTCTCACATGCCCCAACCCCCTTCCTGGTCCCCTGACTAGGAGAGAGCAAACTGTTCCTTGGACTCTGGGACAGCTGGCAGTTCCTGTTTTCCTGTTAAGCGTATGTGTAGACTGCTTTTTATTTATTGTTTGGGATTTGTCTGGCTTCTTCAATCTATGGAGTCATGTCTTTCAGCAGTTTTGAAAAGTCTACATTATGTCTAAAAATATTTGCTCTGTTCTATTCTCCTCTCTCCTTGTGCAGCTAATTAAGCATATGTTAGGACTTCTGTCTCCTGTTTTTTCCATCTTGTCTTTCCATGCTGTACTCTGTATAATTTCCCTGATTTATATTCCAGTTTATAAATTCTTCCTATTGGCTGTATTCTGTTCTGCCATTAAACCTATTTACTGAGTTTTAAAGTTCCGTTTTTATATATTCCTGCAATATTTGTATTGTTTTTTCCCAAATTAGCTCCATCACTTTTTATAGTTTCCCATTCTCTACAGGTACCTCACACCTGACTTTATTTCTTTAAACACAGAATGCATAAATCTAATACCTAAGTCTATATGAATTTGTTTTCATTGTTTCTACTAATCGTTGCCTCTTAAGTCATTTCCTTTTGTGCCTACTTATTTTTACCTGTGTTAGCAGATGTTATATTTGAAAAGTAATTTGAAGCCTACAGTGAAGTTACTTTTCTATGGAGAAGATTTACATTTTTATTCCTCCTAGCACCTGGAGGCATCACCAGTGTGGGAGCACCTTAAGCTAGTTAAATGCTTAAGATTCCTTGGGTGATGTAGGCAATTCTGTAATTTTATTTATTTATTTTTCCCCCAAAGCCCCAGTAGACAGTTGTATGTCATAGCTGCACATCCTTCTAGTTGCTGTATGTGGGACGCTGCCTCAGCATGGCCAGAGAAGTGGTGCGTCGCTGTGCGCCCAGGATCCAAACCCGGGCCACCAGCAGTGGAGCGCGCGCACTTAACCGCTAAGCCACGGGGCCGGCCCCTCGGCAATTCTAAACTTGGCTATAATTTTACATAATTTATACTTCTGGTTCAGCCTCATCCAAAGGCTGAAACACTTTGGAGGGGGTGGGGGTGTCTCAGCCTATTGAGGGGAAGTTCTCCTGTTAGATTCATGATTCCTGTTAGATTCACCACCTTGTGTGGATCTTGAACTTTGATATCTGTCCCCCTCACCCCATAAGGTTGTCACAGTAGGGCTCCATGTTCACTTCTTTTTCTCTTTACTTTTGGACCGGACATTCCGTACTGTTTCTCCTTGATGTTTTAAGATGACTTTGTATTTTAATCAGCTTTGGTTTTTTTCAGCAGAAGCATGGATCTAAATATCTAGTATGCAATTTCCAGAAACAGGAAGTTTCCCACAATTGCATCTTTGTTCCTACATGGCCAAATCCTACTCTCTCTTGGTATTCTCTGCACTTAGCACATACTACGTATGGCATGGAATCCATAACTGTTGATAAGAAATATGCTTACTTCTGTCAGGGCAATTAATCATTTTTAGCAATTTTTACAGACAGCTGCTCAAAGATATAGGTATCTCGTATTAGTTTTCTAATATTAGTTGCTGCACATAATAAATCACCAGAAAACTTAGCAGCTTAAAATAACAGACATTATCTTACATGGTTTTTGAGATTCAGGAATCTGAGAGCAGCTTAGTTGGGTGGTTCTCATGAGGTTGCAGTCACACTGTTGGCTGGGGCTGCAATTTGAAGGCTTGACTGAGGTTAGAGCATCCACTTCCATTCATGTGGCTGTCATCAGGAGGCTTCAGTTCCTCGCCAGATGGGCCGCTCTATGGGGCTGCCCATGCCTGGCAACTGACTTCCCCAAGAGGGAGTGATCCAATAGAGACAGAACGAGAGAGACACACACAGACAGACAGGGAGGGAGTGGTGGGGAGAGAGCAATGAAAGGAAGAAAGAGTAGGGAGAAATGCACCAAAGTTGGAAGCCAAAGAGTCTTTTATAACATAATCTTGGAAATAACATCCCTTCCTTCTGCCTTATTCTATCAGTCACAAAGACCAACAATGGTAGTGTGGGAGGGGGACTACATAAAGGTGGGAATACCAGGAGGTAGGGATCATTGTGGGCTATCTTGGAGGCTGTCTACCACCTTATTTTACCAAAGGAAAGAAAAAACCCTTTATTATATTCAGAGGTTCATAATAAAGCACTTGAATTAGATCTATTTCTTCATCTGTAAAAAGAATGAAAATATAGTTGTAATTTTATCAATGCAAATGCAGAAAATGT